TCGGAAAACCGTTAGTAAATACTGACGCAGTACCGATGGATGGTAAACGGAATTTTAGACTTTGGAAATACATCGTAATTCCGTCGTTAACATCGACTGATTTCCGACGGAAACTCTTTTTTAGAAAATAAATCAGTTTTTCTTATTAGTAAATAAATATAAATAATTCATTTAGTATAATTATTATTAATAATTAATTAATTCTTTATTTTTGTAATTAAAATAATATGTATACTTACCAAAAAATTTAATTTTCGAATGATTATAATATAAGTATTTCTTTATTATTTACTGTTATTAAGAAAATAATAGATTACCAAGGTAAATGCTTTTTTTATAAATAGTAATTTTTTACGAGTATATAATAAAATAACTCAATTTTTATTATTAATATTAGTAATTAATTAACTATAAACTTTTATAATAAAAATAATAATTATTAACCAAATAATTCATCCATCTATTATTATAGTATTAGTATTAATATTATTATTTAAAACAAATAAAATAATTAAATACAAAAATGATTTTATAAAATAATTCCATTTATTAGTATTATTATAAAAATAGTTTAATTACTATTATTAGTATTGGTAATTAAATAACTATTTACTTTTTAACTAAAATAATATAGTTATTACTAATTATTACAACTTATCATAACAATTTGTCGTAGTAGTAATAATAATAATAATAATAATAATAATAATAATAATAATAATAAAGGCAAATAACTACAATAATAATAACAATAGAAATAAAATAATAATAAAAATAAAAAATATAATAAAAATAACAATAATAATGATTAATAAGTAATAGCAGTTTAAAAAAATAAAAATAATTAATAAGTAGTTTATGTCTAATAAAGATTTGAGAAAAATATAAGCAGAAAAAGGATGTTTATTCTCGAAAACATGAAAATTAAAATTGAAAGGTCGGTTCCGATAGTGTACACGGGTAATAAGTATGTGTATATTAGTTGTGAGAAAAATAATGCATAAAAAACGACATATAATCTTCGAAAACTTGAAAGTTAGAACTATTCAATCGGAGAAGATGCATATTCTATATCTTGTATTCGAAACATGGAGAAGAAGCTAGGAAGCGTAGAGAGGGTATTAAGATATTATCCCATCCTCATCTCCTAACTTCAAGTTTCCAACAAAGGTGTACAGACTTAGGTTAAGATCCTCGCATCGGATGGTTGTTGTGAACTTTTTAAGCTTCTCTTAATCATTGTCCAGGCCCATCGTGCATTCTATGCTACGTTTTATCTTGAGGTTTTTCTCCCCATCAAGATTTATCGTCTCTACGTAGCAAACCCCGTCTTGGTTGCTTGAACACAACGACATAAGATCAAAAGGGAAATAATCATTTTTTTTTACTTTAATGACATCACCCACTCGGAGAGCCTTCCGATGTTTGTCAACAAATGAGATCTCATTCCCCAGTAATTAAGGACCTTCATTGTCCTCGAGTTGATCTCTCGGTCTTTAAGAAGACGACGCCAGTCCTCCACCCCCTCCTTCACAACGCTGACTCCCATCACGAAAACTAGTGGAGCTATCAAGCTCAAAGGATAGAATGGAGTGAAAGGGGTCAATGATAACATTGCAACCAATAGGAAGTATAAGTTAGCCACTCTCCTAAACTGCTCGAAGAGCAATTTAGGTAAAAATATAGCCACATTGTCCTTGGTTGTCGATACTACATTACTTGCGTATTTGTACGGTTTGGCTGTATGCCTCCCCGAAGCATTACAAAAGACTACTCTTGACATATTAACTGAATAAGAGGGCGAAATTGGTAGACGCTACGGACTTACTGAATAAGAGGACGAAATTGGTAGACGCTACGGACTTAATTGGATTGAGCCTTGGTATGAAAACTTACTAAGTGATAACTTTCAAATTCAGAGAAACCCAGGAATTAATAAAAATTGGGCAATCATGAGCCAAATCACGTTTTCCGAAAACAAAGGTTCAGAAAGAAAAAATCAAAAAGGATAGGTGTAGAGACTCGATGGAAGCTGTTATAACGAATGGAGTTCAGGGGCGGAACCAGAAACTTTCGTCAGAGGTAGCATAAATTTTTTGACAGTCTATATATGCATACAAAGGATCTCATACAGTTATACAAGTTTTAGCAGGAAGGAAACAAATTGGTCGATTCACAGCTTAGAATAACCACCTATTATCTGTGGATTTAAAGGAAAATTTAGGAGTTTAGGACTAGTGGTTTTGCACTCTATGTTTTACATTTTAAGAATGAATTTAGAAGCAACACTATACCTAAAAGAATATGGAGTTTGAAAAGAAAAGAAGTTGTAGGTGGTTTTGTTGGTTCATGTTCTTCACTTTAAGCATCAATAGCTGAAATGTGCAAGTCTTTAACAACATTTACACTCTGCTAGTCAAAGCAATTTAATGGAAGATGGCATTAATATAATTAAAAATGGACCTTGATCATTACTTTGAAATCAACAATAAACAACTAAAACCTAAACAAAATTTGAAATTAAAACCCACACAAAGTTTTTGTACTGGGAATGCCTATAAAATATAGTTTTACATTCTATCCCACTATATAACGAAATTAAAGTCATTTGAATGCTTTGAAACTTTGCAATACCATCTTTTAATGACTGCCTTTAAAATAATAGATTTACTTTGAATTCACAATACATAGTTTAAGCTCTCTAGGACCGTCTATTCTTTAAGCATGGAGGCCTTGGTACCATCAGAAGCACAAAAGCATGTAATTTTGTTATATCTTCTGCTAAGATAAATCCACTAATAAATAGAACCAAATGGGGTATACTAGTGCTACTTATCATTTTACTAAGTTTAGATAAACTCATCACTAATAATATATGTTAAAACAAGATACCATAAGTTAACTTTTTGGGGTCCATGGGAAATGAAACAAAACAAGTTTATGTATCTTTCGTAAGTCAATCTTTTGGGGTCTATCAGTCAATGAGAGCAACTAGCTATACATATAAGGAATGTAATGACCCTTAGCACTTATTAATTTCCAACAATAGGGAATACCCAAATGAATTAAAACTTATTATCGGTTGCAGTTAGATCGATTATGAAAAAAAGAAACATCATTACGGAAACTCATTAGGAATCTAAGTACAAAACGAGTGGGGGAATCTTAATAATCATAATCTTGAGGATAGGGTGGGTTAGGAACACATACCGGTCTGATTCTTCTTCTAATCATCTTCCTCTGCAACGTCTTAGGATTAGCACCTCTGTAATGTAGTACTAGCACCACGACAATATCAAATGTTTTTCTATTTCTCGGACAAACTTGAGGGGTAGCACTACCCCTGGCTACCAACTAGATCCGCCACTAATGGAGTTGATTGTCTTACGTTAGTAAAGGAATCCTTCTATCAAAACTTCAGAAAAGATGAAGGATAAACATGTATCCATACTAGAGAAGAATTGTTGTCAATTGATTCCATATTGAAGAAAGAATCGAATATTCATTGATCAAACCATTCATACGTCCATTCTTATATAATACTATAATTTACATTTTTTGTCCTCTAAGTTATAGAACCATGCCAACTTTTCTAATGTTAACGTGTTTGATACATACATTCTTTTCTTTAAATACGTTTAATCAAGAATTGTTATTTGTAAAATTGCATGTATATTTGGAGCACGCAAGGTTGTTTGTGGTATTCCTTCTCACAAAGTTACTCTTTTTTTTCCTAATTTTTAAGTTTATTTGTTGCGATTGGAACTCTTTCTAAGATTGTATAGATAGTTGGAGCGATTAAGGTTGCTTATGATATGATTGTTGCAATTTAATAAATGGATCAAGTAAGAGAGAGAGAGATCGGATGTTATTTTTGTGCTTAATCCAAATTGAGCCAGAATATAAATGTTGATTATTATTATTATTATTATTATTATTATTATTATTATTATTAGTAATTAATTTATTTTTTATTTTTATACTTAAAATAATATATATATATATATATATATATATATATATATATATATATATATACCAAATAATTCAAATTTCCATTTGAATTATAATCTTAGTATTTTTTATTATTTATTATTATTAAGAAAATAATAAATTACTAAGGTAAATGCTTTTTTATAAAATAAATAAACTTTGATGAGTATCATAATAAAATAACTCAATTTTTATTATTAATATTAGTAATTAATTTACTATAAACTTTTATAATTATTAACCAAATACTTCATCCCATCTAATTATTATAGTATTAGTATTAATATTATTATTTAAAATAATAAAAGAATTACCAACAAAAATGCTTTTTATAAAGTAAATCAATTTATTAGTATTATTATAAAATAGTTTAATTACTATTATTAGTATTGGTAGTTAAATAACTATTTACTTTTTTAATTAAAATAATTTGTAGTAATAATAATAATAATAATAACAACAACAACAACAACAACGATAAATAACTAGGAAATTAATAACAACAGAAATAACATAATATTAAGAATAATAAAAATAACATTAGAAATAATTAGATATTAATAACAGTTAAAAAATAAAATTAATTAATAAGTAGTAATGTCTAATAAAGGTTTGACAAAAATATAAGCGAAAATAGGACGTTTTATTCTCGAAAAGTTAAAAACTAGAATTGAAACGCCGGTTCCGATAATGTACATGGGTATATGTATGGGTATATTAGTTGTGAGAAAAGTAAAGCGTATAAAACGACGTATAGTGTTCCAAAACTTTATAGTTAGAACTATTACGACGGAGAAGAAGCATATTCTGTATTCTGAAGCTTCAAATCACAGAGAAGAAGCTGGGAAGCGGAGAGAAGGTATGAAGATAATATCCCATCCTCATCTCGTAACTCCAAGTTTCCAACAAAGGTGTAGAGACTTGAGTTAGGATCCCCACATTGGATGGTTGTTGTGAACTTTTTATGCTTCGCTTGATCGTTGTCCAGGCCCATCATGCATTTCATGCTACGTTTTATCTTTGAGGTTTGTCTCCTTATCAAGATTTATCTTCTCCACGTAGCAAACCCCGTCTTGGTAGTTTGAACACAAAGACATAAGATCAACAGGGAAATAATCTTTTTTGTCGACTTTAATGACATCACCCACTCGTAGGGCCTTCCAATGTTTGTCGGCAAAAGATATCTCGTTCCCAGTAAGGACCTTCACTGTCCTCGAGTTGACATCTCGGTCTTTCAGAAGACGACACCAGTCCTCCACCCCATCCTTCACAAGGCTGACTCTCACCACGAAAACTAGTGGAGCTATCTAGCTCAAAGGAAAAAAATCGAGTGAAGGGGGTTAATGATTGCATTGCAACCAATAGGAAAATACAAGTTAGCCACTCTCCTAAACTGCTCGAAGAGTGATTTAGATAAAAATGTAGTTGCATTGTACTTGGTTGTCAATACAACATTACTTCATATTTATACGGTCTGGCCGTATGCCTCCCCAAAGCATTACAAAAAACTACTCTTGACATCTTAATTGGATAAGACTTTTTTTTAAACGATGTTGCTTGGTAGAAATAAAGATTATTCTAATTTGTTTTTATATTGTGTCTTTACAAATCACTAGCATCCATTCCGTATATAATAATACAAGTTACATTTGTGGTCCTCTAACTTATAAAACAACGTCAACTTTTGTAATGTTAAAGTGTTTGATTTACCAGCTTAATAGGAGTATTTTAAAACTTATAATCGTCTTTTTTTCCTTAAAAGGGAGTTTCTAAATTGTAGTCTACCACATCGAGATATTTCACAACAACTTGCATTGTCACATATGCCAATTTGTAAGTCATGAAGACCAACATCTTTCAAATGTTGAAAGGCTTGCAAATGCAATTTAATATTAAACAATTTTAATTTAATATTAAACAATGTTTTCTATTTCAATATCTAATTTATTTGATCATCTTTTATTAAATTAACCTATTATGATATATAGAAGTTTTAGTTATTTGCTTTTACGAATTTCAACATCTTTCGAATATCGAAAAGCTTGCAAATGCAATTTAGTATTAAACCTTGTTTTCTATTTCAATATCTAATTTCTATTTCAATGTCAAGTGCATGTTTTACAATTTGTTGTCAAATAAGGGACTTGAGTATTGAGGAATTAGGAATAAGTCTTGCCAAACCCATTTTTCTTTGTAGTTGAAAATGTTATTTAAGAGTTTAAAAGGTGACCCAGAGTAGACGTGTAACACACTATTAGAAAACTGGATGAATTCCTACGGAATTTTGTGACGGAATTTTTCCGTTGGAAATTAGTGTCGGAATTCCAACGGAATTGTGACGAAGGTAAAAACTATAATTTTAGTGATGGAAATAATTTCCATCGGAAAACCGTTAGTAAATACTGACGCAGTACCGATGGATGGTAAACGGAATTTTAGACTTTGGAAATACATCGTAATTCCGTCGTTAACACCGACTGATTTCCGACGGAAACTCTTTTTTAGAAAATAAATCAGTTTTTCTTATTAGTAATATAATATAAATAATTCATTTAGTATTATTATTATTAATAATTAATTAATTCTTTATTTTTGTAATTAAAATAATATGTATACTTACCAAAAAATTTAATTTTCGAATGATTATAATATAAGTATTTCTTTATTATTTACTGTTATTAAGAAAATAATAGATTACCAAGGTAAATGCTTTTTTATAAAATAAGTAATTTTTTACGAGTATATAATAAAATAACTCAATTTTTATTATTAATATTAGTAATTAATTAACTATAAACTTTTATAATAAAAATATAATAATTATTAACCAAATAATTCATCCATCTAATTATTATAGTATTAGTATTAATATTATTATTTAAAACAAATAAAATAATTAAATACAAAAATGTTTTTATAAAATAATTCCATTTATTAGTATTATTATAAAAATAGTTTAATTACTATTATTAGTATTGGTAATTAAATAACTATTTACTTTTTTAACTAAAATAATATAGTTATTACTAATTATTACAACTTATCATAACAATTTGTCGTAGTAATAATAATAATAATAATAATAATAATAATAATAATAATAATAATGAAGGCAAGTAACTACAATAATAATAACAATAGAAATAAAATAATAATAAAAATAAAAAATATAATAAAAATAACAATAATAATGATTAATAAGTAATAGCAGTTTAAAAAAATAAAAATAATTAATAAGTAGTTTATGTCTAATAAAGATTTGAGAAAAATATAAGCAGAAAAAGGATGTTTATTCTCGAAAACATGAAAATTAAAATTGAAAGGTCGGTTCCGATAGTGTACACGGGTGTAAGTATGTGTATATTAGTTGTGAGAAAAATAATGCATAAAAAACGACATATAATCTTTGAAAACTTGAAAGTTAGAACTATTCAATCGGAGAAGATGCATATTCTATATCTTGTATTCGAAACATGGAGAAGAAGCTAGGAAGCGTACAGAGGGTATTAAGATATTATCCCATCCTCATCTCCTAACTTCAAGTTTCCAACAAAGGTGTACAGACTTAGGTTAAGATCCTCGCATCGGATGGTTGTCGTGAACTTTTTAAGCTTCTCTTAATCATTGTTCAGGCCCATCGTGCATTCTATGCTACGTTTTATCTTGAGGTTTTTCTCCCCATCATGATTTATCGTCTCTACGTAGCAAACCCCTTCTTGGTAGCTTGAACACAACGATATAAGATCAAAAGGGAAATAATCATTTTTTTTTACTTTAATGACATCACCCACTCGGAGGGCCTTCCAATGTTTGTCAACAAATGATATCTCATTCCCAGTAATTAAGGACCTTCACTGTCCTCGAGTTGATCTCTTGGTCTTTAAGAAGACGACGCCAGTCCTCCACCCCCTCCTTCACAAGGCTGACTCCCATCACGAAAACTAGTGGAGCTATCAAGCTCAAAGGATAGAATGGAGTGAAAAGGGTCAATGATAACATTGCAACCAATAGGAAGTATAAGTTAGCCACTCTCCTAAACTGCTCGAAGAGCAATTTAGGTAAAAATATAGCCACATTGTACTTGGTTGTCGATACTACATTACTTGCATATTTGTACGGTTTGACTGTATGCCTCCCCGAAGCATTACAAAAGACTACTCTTGACATCTTAACTGAATAAGAGGGCGAAATTGGTAGACGCTACGGACTTACTAAATACGAGGGCGAAAATGGTAGACGCTACGGACTTAATTGGATTGAGCCTTGGTATGAAAACTTACTAAGTGATAACTTTCAAATTCAGAGAAACCCAGGAATTAATAAAAATTGGGCAATCCTGAACCAAATCACGTTTTTCGAAAACAAAGGTTCAGAAAGAAAAAATCAAAAAGGATAGGTGCAGAGACTCGATGGAAGCTGTTCTAACGAATGGAGTTCAGGGGCGGAACCAGAAACTTTCGTCAGAGGTAGCATAAATTTTTTGACAGTCTATATATGCATACAAAGGATCTCATACAGTTATACAAGTTTTAGCAGGAAGGAAACAAATTGGTCGATTCACAGCTTAGAATAACCACCTATTATCTGTGGATTTAAAGGAAAATTTAGGAGTTTAGGACTAGTGGTTTTGTCACTCTATGTTTTACACTTTAAGAATGAATTTAGAAGCAACACTATACCTAAAAGAATATGGAGTTTGAAAAGAAAAGAAGTTGTTGGTGGTTTTGTTGGTTCACGTTCTTCACTTTAAGCATCAATAGCTGAAATGTGCAAGTCTTTAACAACATTTACACTCTGCTAGTCAAAGCAATTTAATGGAAGATGGCATTAATATAATTAAAAATGGACCTTGATCATTACTTTGAAATCAACAATAAACAACTAAAACCTAAACAAAATTTGAAATTAAAACCCACACAAAGTTTTTGTACTGGGAATGCCTATAAAATATAGTTTTACATTCTATCCCACTATATAACGAAATTAAAGCCATTTGAATGCTTTGAAACTTTGCAATACCATCTTTTAATGACTGCCTTTAAAATAATAGATTTACTTTGAATTCACAATACACAGTTTAAGCTCTCTAGGACCGTCTATTGTTTAAGCATGGAGGTCTTGGTACCATCAGAAGCACAAAAGCATGTAATTTTGTTATATCTTCCGCTAAGATAAATCCACTAATAAATAGAACCAAATGGGGTATACTAGTGCTACTTATCATTTTTCTAAGTTTAGATAAACTCATCACTAATAATATATGTTAAAACAAGATACCATAAGTTAACTTTTTGGAGTCCATGGGAAATGAAACAAAACAAGTTTATGTATCTTTCGTAAGTCAATCTTTTGGGGTCCATCAGTCAATGAGAGCAACTAGCTACACATATAAGGAATGTAATGACCCTTAGCACTTATTAATTTCCAACAATAGGGAATACCCAAATGAATTAAAACTTATTATCGGTTGCAGTTGGATCGATTATGAAAAAAAGAAACATCATTACGGAAACTCATTAGGAATCTAAGTACAAAACGAGTGGGGGGAATCTTAATAATCATAATCTTGAGGATAGGGTGGGTTAGGAACACATACCGGTCTGATTCTTCTTCTAATCATCTTCCTCTGCAACGTCTTAGGATTAGCACCTCTATAATGTAGTACTAGCACCACGGCAATATCAAATGTTTTTCTATTTCTCGGACAAAGCACTACCCCTGGCTACCAACTAGATCCGCCACTAATGGAGTTGATTGTCTTACGTTAGTAAAGGAATCCTTCTATCAAAACTTCAGAAAAGATGAAGGATAAACATGTATCCATACTAGAGAAGAATTGTTGTCAATTGATTCCATATTGAAGAAAGAATCGAATATTCATTGATCAAACCATTCATACGTCCATTCTTATATAATACTATAATTTACATTTTTGGTCCTCTAAGTTATAGAACCATACCAACTTTTCTAATGTTAACGTGTTTGATACATACATTCTTTTCTTTAAATACGTGTAATCAAGAATTGTTATTTGTAAAATTGCATGTATATTTGGAGCACGCAAGGTTGTTTGTGGTATTCCTTCTCACAAAGTTACTCTTTTTTTCCTAATTTTTAAGTTTATTTGTTGCGATTGGAACTCTTTCTAAGATTGTATAGATAGTTGGTGCGATCAAGGTTGCTTATGATATGATTGTTGCAATTTAATAAATGGATCAAGTAAGAGAGAGAGAGAGAGAGAGAGAGAGAGAGAGAGAGAGAGAGAGAGAGAGAGAGAGAGAGAGAGAGAGAGAGAGAGAGAGAGAGACCGGATGTTATTTTTGTGCTTAAGCCAAATTGAGCCAGAATATAAATGTTGATTATTATTATTATTATTATTATTTAACTTTGATCGTGTGCAGAAGTACATTTCATGTTGAATGAAATCTATAACGAAAAAAGAAAATCATCGAGGGACCATGCAAGTAAGTTGGATGATTTTTTTCCCTTCAAAATACAATGGTATATAACCTATGACATCAGTCCAAATCATAAAGGTGTCCAAGTAGATGTTACGTCACCTTAGTTACTGGTTAGTGGTTAATAGATGTAATAATTGTAAAAGCTAGTACAAAAAAAATCAGTGATCCAAATAAAAGAAGTTATATAAACTATCGGAAAGTTGAAGGTGTGTGGGGTTGTGTAACATCCCAAAAATGAGCATATGGTAGACCTCTTTTTTGAAACTCCACAACATAAATGTGCGCAACAGCTTTTCCAAAAATTTCATTTTTAAAAATTTCTTTCTTAAATTGCTCAAGTTTTGCTTGGAAGACTAATAATTAAATCTTGTCTATTTTGTGCTTCATTGTGACACGCCGTGTGTTGTTTGATTTCTGGCCAATTAGGAGTACAGGTTAATGTTAGAAAAATGTTCGATTTGCCGAACCTTTACACTAATGTCATAGCATCAATGCATTTTCTTCTCATGTTCCTTGGACCGCCAATAAAATTTGCTGGTAAAACCACTCGTTGACTAATAACTGATGTGTTTGTTTCACTCGTTGCCATAGCATCTACCACTCCTTGAAGGAACTCTTGTCTCTTAACTCTTGTTGATTTTGATAAAAAAAACTAATCTTTGTGTTTCTAATTTTACGTAACTATCAACTATATATATTTGAAATAATCGACCAAAAAGCAACAAACATGGTTTATCATGCAAACGTATCCGAAGTTTGTAGGCATAATATTGTAAAAAAAATTTACAGTGACACATTTTGTATTCTCCAAAGATTTGCCCATTATTGCAAAAAAAAAAAAACAATCAAACAAATTATTAGTTTCAAATATATATGTTGTAGAAAAAAATTAAAGGGTATTTCCTTACTTGTTCCTTCCATATTTAATAAGTCATCGACATTTGTAATACCTGAGCGCGTGATAAGTCACTGTGTGTTCTTACTTAAATATTTCTACGACCATGTTCACCATTTTCTTCGCCTTCAACCCAAGGTGCTGCAACTTGTGAGATATCTGACTTGTTATACACTCTTTGATCTTGTCGTGGATTTGTCTTAAGAATAATCTTATATTCATTCAAACATGGAATGCATGTCCCTTAAATTTCTAAAAAACCGTGCATACAGATTATACTCAAGATAACTTATACATACTACAATTAAGTCTTTTGATAATCGTGAGGAAGTAGTTAACCGATTTTGTACTTCATTCTCTGTATCATGAAAATAAAATTGAAGGTTTTTTGCACCTTTTTCTGTAGGTTGTAAACCGTTTATGAAGTGATAAACTTGACTTAGGACTCTAAAAGTGTAAATTCCCATATTCCGCCTTCCAAGGTTAGTATCAGCAGTAACACCAAATGAAGTGAAGGCAAAAGTATTGTTATATGTTCTGAATGATTATGCTTCATCTATGTTAGATGTCAACAAATTTTGCATCATATATAGGAGTTCATTACTGGATAAAACAATACGACCATCTAATTAAACAACAAAAATTTGATGTTTCCGAATAAAATTTCATAGCATGACAATAACAACAACACATTACTTCTCGAAGAACATCGGGAGATAAAATTACTTGTTTTAAGAGATGTTTTCCTTTTTTGTTGTTGTCTTGCTTGCGGAAAACTATTTGATCTTTCTTTTTCTAGATCAAAACTTTTAACTTTTCTTCTAATTACTGTTTCACTTTCTCGGGTTTTCCTTTCATTTGTACTGTTTCTTATAACCGCGAGGATCATCAATCATATCTAACTTATATATTCTATCATCACAATTACCGTTCTTTTTTTTTTCCAATTTATAATAGTTATTCTCCTGTATACTTTCTTATCTACAATGGAACAATCTACATCTGTTGTTATTCTAGCATAATTATTAGTTGGTTGTTGACATTCACTCATGGTATTGAAAATGATGATGATAGTAACTTGTGAACTTGTTATAAGTTATAGCATTTAAATTCACATATTTATGTATTATTCTTATTAAGTCTCTCACTTTCAATTATAACTCGGTTTTACATCATGAGATATGACATTATGCATGAGAAAGATGATTGGTGAAGGTATTTTGTGATAATTGACTTACAAATTACATTTATATTGTTGGTTGCACACTTGTAAAGCAAGTCCGAATCTGGTCCAATAAAAACAATTGATGAAGTCAATTAACAAAGAAATTAGGATTGAAAAAAGTAATCGCATTTTGTTTCATAGTTGGCATCAGTTGGATTTCTAGTTATAGGTTGAACCAATAATAAGTAATTGAATAATAATATAAATTTCTGCACCACCTTTTAACTAAAACTGAATATACTGTTGCTTTTATTTAATTATTCCTAATGTTAATAAAAAATGTAAAGGCTGCAAGTACATGAGGTTAGTGATGTTACCCTTAATACAGAGGAAAGATACACACTTATGTCAAATTATAGGAGTAATGAATTTTATATTTCATCATGATGCTTGCAATTTTCATTAAAGAATAAATCAAGTTGAAACATAAAATATTGGTCAAAATAAGGCAAACTTAAAGTTCGCTATAGCATGTTGTATTCAATAAAATGCCAAATCTTGAATATCAACTCAACAAAGAAAAAAGAAAAAGGAAACCCGGCAAAAGAACAATACATTAGAATTAAAATATAGAAAAAAATATTAA